TAGGAATGAGGGGGGAAAGGAAGAGTCATTTCAAAGTTGGGTAATATTTTTGAAATCAGAGAAAAAGAGATGGCAAAATGTTATCTCTCCCCTCTCTCTCTCTAATAATGAAAGAAATACAGACATCAAGATACATTGATGGGTCTACAAAATTAGAAAAAAATTTTATGAGAGCCTTTGGTGAAATGGATACACTGACAGTGAGACTTGCTGGGACAAACTTTCTGGAAAGCATTATGTACCTGTGTTTGAATCCAGTGACCCATGGATTTCAGGTCCGGGAAACCTCCGTGCATAAAGTGCTGGAAAAGCTTGATGCACAGAAATATTCATTACAGTAGCATAACTTAAATTAGCTAAAAATCAAGAACATCCTAAGTATTTAATAATAAGAATAGTTTAGTATATTATGATATGTCCACAATAGGAATATTATATGGCCATAAAAATAATATTCATAAAGGATTAATAACATGGAGATTTTCCCCTTATATTAAATTTAAAAAAGTAGAAATACCGAGAAATAGAAATAGAAAAACACTATAGAGGATATAATCTCAAAAACAGAAGAAATCCTCAGAGAAAAAGCTAGAAAGAATTAGAGTAAAATGAAAGTAGGCTTTGTCGGGGCGCCTGGGTGGCTCAGTCGTTAAGCGTCTGCCTTCGGCTCAGGTCATGGTCCCAGGGTCCTGGGATCGAGCCCCGCATCGGGCTCCCTGCTCCGCGGGAAGCCTGCTTCTCCCTCTCCCACTCCCCCTGCTTGTGTTCCCTCTCTCGCTGTGTCTCTCTCTCTGTCAAATAAATAAATAAAATCTTTAAAAAAAAAAAAAGAAGAAAGTAGGCTTTGTCTCTGATAGTTGTAGGTTTTTTTGCCCAAATTTCTGTCAAAGCTAGCCAACCTCATATTCTGCTCCCATGTCTTAAAACCTTTTGAGAAGGTAACAATTTAAGGCCTTGTTTGTAATAACATTTCCAATGTGGCCACAATTTTTAATGGAACTGATGGCCATACATGTCACAAGGGTAGAGAACCATGACAAAGGGCTTTTCTTCTCCAAAGAGCAGGACAAGTGGTTTACCTGGCTTCACTGGAGAATCACAATTTCTACCCCAGGAGATGTGCTATTTGCCAAAGCAATCTTTCAGCATTTCAAAAACATCAGCAGCCTCTGAATCTCACCAAGGAGAAATTCTTTGATAGTGTTGGTGAGAACATAATGGATGAACCAAGAAGTTGGCTGTTTCTAGAAGCACAAAGCAGAGAAAACACTTCCTCTATGGATGCTTAAGATATGCAATGAGGGAAATCTTGGAGGGCAAGCCATCATTTGACTGTCTTCTCTTGCTCCAAACCTCAATCAACTTGACTATCTCTTTAATGAATGATTCATCAAAATATCCCCCAATTTGTCACAAGTGGCTTCTTTGGCTAACCAACAGGCTGATCACTTTTGTTGAATCCATCCAAGAAAGGGCTTTGTCTTGGGGAAAATGAAATCTTGGGGAATTTCTAGGCTTTAAAAATTGGATCTTACTTTGAAAATGATCCATATGGTTCAATTTAATTTGCAGTATAAGGCACACCACTGGCATTACAGGAATGTGTCTGCTGTCGCAAGAAACAATGGCTTGAGCTGTGAAATGAAACCAAAGGATGCTATCTGAAGCTATTATGTACACTTTCTGATGTCATTTTCCAACGTAAGCATCCTTAATGTAAACAGTGATAGATGTCCATAATCATAATTAAGGGATATCGGCATTAATTCCCATCAAAGAGAAGCTGTTCAAAATATCACAATATGCAACCCTTCATGAGGGTTGCATATCACCTGCTTTCTATAGTAGCATCCCAGGCCATCTGCACCTTTTTAATGGCACAGGACTTAATGGCACAATTTGACATAAAAAAGAAATTTTCTCCGCAATGATAATTTTTAGAGTAGCAGGAGGAAATTTTTTTAAAAATCTTTTTTCATTGATTCTCTAAAACTCATTCATGGGTATTCTTGATGTGCCAGTTTCCTAGGGGCTGCCATAACAAAGTACCACAAACTGGGCTTAAAACACCAGAAATGTGTTGTCTCACAGTTCTGGAAGCTAGAAGTCTGAAATTATGCTTATTGCAGGGCTGTGCTCCCTCTGAAACCTGTAGGGGAGAATCCTTCCTGGCTTCTTTTTAGCTTCTGGGGTTTGCTCACCATCTTTGGTGTTCCCTGGCTTGCAGCTGTGTAACTCCAGTCTCTGCCTATGCTGTCACATGGAATTTCCCCTGTGTCTCCATGTCTTCATGTGGCCATCCTTTTATGAGGACACCAGTCATAAGGATTAGAGATCCACTGTACTTGAGTATGACCTTATCTTTTTTTTTTAATTTTAATTTTTTTTAAAGATTTTATTTATTTATTTGAGACAGAGAGAATGAGAGACAGAGAGCATGAGAGGGAGGAGGGTCAGAGGGATAAGCAGACTCCCTGCCAAGCAGGGAGCCTGATGCGGGACTCGATCCTGGGACTCCAGGATCATGACCTGAGCCGAAGGCAGTCGCTTAACCAACTGAGCCACCCAGGCGCCCAACCTCATCTTTTTTTTTAAGATTTTATTTATTTATTTGCCAGAGAGAGAGAATGTGCACAAGCAGGGGGAGCGGCAGAGGCAGAGGGAGAAGTAAGCTCCCCTCTGAGCAAGGAGCCCAATGCGGGACTTGATCCCAGGACCCCGGTATCATGACCTGAGCCGAAGGCAGCCGCTTAACCGAGTGAACCACCCAGGTGTCCCGATCTCATTTTAACTAATCACACTAGCAACCACCCTGTCTCTAAATAAGATCATATTCTGTGGTGCTAGGGGTTAGAACTTCAGTTGATCTTTTTTGGGGTGACACGATTCAACCCATAATACCTGGTGTCCATGGGTTGTCCAAAGAGCCTTTTTGAGACAGAGAGAGGGCAGTGTGGGAACACTGGAACCAGGGAGTATGGAACAAGGGTGCAGAGAAGGAAGTGGGAGCAAGACAAATGGAACCCACTTTGCAGTTTTACCCGCAAGTCTGGTGGCAGTGATCTTTCCCCCTGCTGATTTTGGTGCAAGAACTCTGGTTACTGATGGCAACTTTTGGCCAATTCCCAGCTGAAGATGCTCAAGTTCTATACTTGAGTATGGGTTGCAAAATGAAGTTTATGGTTGTGTCCAGAACATTCTCCGCTGATGCCATATGTTTGAAAATGTCTAAATTTTGTGCAGAGACACACAAGCAAGTGTTTTTTAAGTGGAGTTACATAATTAGGGCATGGACTTGCATAATAATTAGCACATGTAATTAGGTACAGACTTCTTGTCCTTTAATTAGACAATCAAGACATCTAATTATAAAATTAAGATGTAATTATATGGCCCAAGATCTACATATATCCTTCCATCCATTAGAGATCACATTTAGAAAATAATTCACAAAAACTGATGGAGAAATGAACCTAGAAACCAGATTCAAGGATCTTGAGGGAAGTCTTAAGTGGACTGGTAAGTCTTCTTTGGTTTTCCCTCCAGGGTGTGAGGGGAGTTATTTAAAATATCATAGTCTACTTGTACGAGTAACTCATACATACTATGCTGTTGACCTTTGGTACACATGCTAATGAAGAAGAGTGTTGGCACGACGAATCTGTGTAATTCACACGTGGCTCCTGAGTGCAGTTTGTAATCACACTTGAACATGGACTTACATGTGATGTCCTGGGAATTCATTCAAACCCAATAAAGCAGCCAGATGGTGGAAACCTCCTTCCCATTCTTGGTTCTCCCTTGTGACTACTTTAAAAATAGACCCATTGCTCAGAATAATGCAAACCAACACTTTGGTCGGATTGTCCTTTCCCTGAATATTTGAACATTTGATGAAAAGTACTTATTTTAAGTGCTCCTTATTGGACTACAGGTTGAAAAGGGGAAGGTCAAAGACTATAGCAAACACTCCATCTTTCTAATGATGAGTGGTTTTTAGAGCAGCATTTTGTTCATCTAAATTCTAATGCTCCTAGGAAGCCTGGCTGTAATGATATGCTCTATATTTTTCCTTGCTCCTAAATTGAGATTTGGCTGATCTCTGCATGATGCTAAACACCCAGTTTGACTCATTAATTTTTCTGAACTGACTGAACTTTTGACCTAATTGGCTGGCTGATTAGGGATTACAGCCATATGTCCAGGTTTCTCTAAGCCAGTTCTGACTTTAACTGCGTTATCCCTCTGTTCCCATAAACTGGTGAAATATCCTAGTAATTCCAATGTTTTGACAGCTAGGCTGCACTTCTCAGACTGCTGCTTTCTCCTGGAAAGTGACACCAAAATCTGTCGGGCCACGTTTCCTGATTTTTGGTTAAGAAAATATGCTTCCCATATGGTTTCAGGCCATGAAAACAAAGACACGAAGAGGTTATAAGCGGTTGGCGATGAGGTCTTGTCTCCATGGTGTGTTCTCTCCCTCTCTATTTTTGTGTTTCTCTATTAGGCCATGGAATGTGGTGAGGGACGAATTAGGTGCAGGGGTCAGTTTTGACCAGCAAAACACACAAATTTGCCCAGGGAACTTATTTTTGCCATTGTGACTTTTTTTTGCCTTGCCTTCTGATAATTGCTCATGGTCGGTGTAGAAGCAAAGGAATTGAACTGGGGAGAGGTACATTTTTAAAAACAATGTATTGATGGAAATTTTAGGTGGGGAAGGAGCATTTAGAAGACAGCATCGCCAAGATGTCTTCCACCTGTGAGATTTTAGGATTCCTCCATCTCCAGCCCACCACGGGATCAGGAGGAATTTCCTGGGGTCCATTCCACTCACTCATCTCTACGCTTTGATCTCTTCTGTCCTTAGACACTGTCAACCGGAAACCACTCCTCCCATCCTTCCTTGAGGAGAACTCAGTAATTCTGTTTCCTAATAGGGCCAATGTATGAATGAAAACTTCAGTTTCTTGATTTTTAAGATTTGCTTTTCCCCTCAGGTACTCCACATCAGCGTTTTCAAGACTGGAGAAGCTGGGCATCAGACATCCCAAGCCGTCTCCTTTTATTGGAAACTTGACATTTTTCCGCCAGGTAATGGCAGTCTTCCATCATCTTCCAGCATAAGATATGCTGAGCCCAGGGCAGCTGTACCCGTGAAGCACTGCTTCCATCTAGGTCACCCACACGGGGGTGGTCTATATGTGAAGGAGCTGTGTGATAAGCCTTCCCCTCCTTGAATGAATTATCACGTGATGACAATGATCCATTGCTTATCACTCATCAACATGTGTTGAGTCCTATCATCCATTCATTCATCCATTCACCCCAAAACCCACTGACTGCGTATCTAAACATGCCAGGCCCTGGGATGTGGAAGAAGTAGAAGCTACTTATACCCTCAAGTGTGCACACGAAATCACGGTGTTCAGCACCAGATGGGATGTACCCTAGTGCTAGATTAGGCGAGAGAGATGGTAGCTGTTGTGTCCTTCAGAGGAGAGGGAGATTTATCAGGGCTAGAATCACCCTAGAGGACTTCCTGGAGAAGGAGGTCCGGCAGAAGCAATAAACACAAGGGCAAGAACACAAACCAGGTGGGGAGCAACAATGTGTGTGATTGCACTTAAATGAGAATTAGGGCAAGCTTGAGTAGCAGCCTGGATTGACTAGAAGCCAAAGATGGGGGAGCACTAGGGGAAGCAACTATGTGAGAGAGTGACAGGCTAGATGGTTGGCAGTCTAGAAAGGTCAGTGTACTATCACTTTGGAGTGGGAGAGGGACCCTGAAGTGGATGATCACTCTTCAGGGGAGATTTAGTTTAAGAAGTCTAGGTGACATGGTGAGGGCTTGGCCCAGATGGTGAGGGTGAAAAGAGAAGGACATTGGGGGCAAAGTTAGTAAATCCTGGGACTAATTCGTAGTAGAGAATTCAAGGCAAATGAGCCAAAGCACCTCTAAGTGTTGAGCCAGGTTCACAGGGAGAATGGCCATGAGTTGACAGAAATAGAAGGTCTGGAGGGCAGCTGGTCCAGGGAGATACCTTTGATTGGCCGGAGTGACATGCAAGTGGAAAGGTCCTGCAGGCATTTGTAGATAGAAGCCCAGGACACTATCTTCCAAGAGTATTTTTTTTCCCTTCATTGGGTTTTCTCAGAAGCCAGATGGTTTAATCTGCGAACTCATGGTGGTGCTGCCACCAGACCCTTCATCAGGAGCCGACAGATCCTGTGTGTGAAGAACCGCTGAGCTAAACAGAGACATGCAGGGCTAACTGGGCCAATCCTGGTCACGTCTGTTCAGCATCTCTCTAGGATTTCCCCACCCCCAGCCTCAGAAAGGCTGGCCCTCAGCATGACACAGATAACAACTTTAGCTATTTCTATCCTTTTCCCTCTTCCTCAGTTTCTTTTCTCTTCCTTTCTGTCTCTTTTCTCTGTCCAACACTCTTTCCTCTTTATTGTTGTTGTTGCTCTCTTCCTAGTGTTTTAAATACCTTCTCCTCACTCTGTCTTGGGGGTGGCACATTCACAATACTAAGCCCTCAAACAGCGATCTCATTAAGGCTTCCGGTGAGTCCTTGAAGCAAGTGTGAAGAAATTTCTAAGTGTCAAAAGAGAACACGCTGGATAGGAAATTCAAAGTAAATAGATTTCATATATTTCTGGGGGAGGGAGGAATGATCAGTTGTATTCAGTTGAGTAATTTAGTATTAACATTTTGAGGAAAAATAGTAGAACTGTCGATATGAAGAGAACACTGTGCTCCTGCCTCTGGTTAATTTCCACATATGCTCCTTTTCAGCTCATCATCCTTGTATGTACAAACCTTGCCAAGTTCCTTCTAGAACATAGTAATTTCAGCGACTATTTTTATATTCATAGAAGCTTTCCTTGATGTATGGCAAGCTTAGATTGTGAAAGTAGATGTAATCAGAATGGGATGTATTTCCATTAAGGACATCCACCTCTTCTATCCCCACCAACCCTTTCCTCTCCCCCACCCCTCAGATGTCTCTCCTGTATAGTGCACTCCCACAACACAGGGATCTAGCAGTTTCCAGCCCTTCACCCCTATAGTTCCTCCATCTATATTTGCACACACACTCCATCCCCACTACATTACCCCAACCCTATAGTACAATGGTGTGGCCTTTTCTGACCCCTCTACCCCACAGCTGTCTCCAGGTATACTCGTTTCCCACAACAAAATGTCTAATGTTTTGTCCTATATAAAGTTACTCTAAGGTTCTTATGTTTTGACTACATTGATTTTAGTTAAAAATTTCAGTTGGATCATGATAATTCAGAATTTGCAAGCGTTTACATATAGAGTGGCTGTCAAAAGAGGCTTTGCCAAAATTAATAATAATATAAACCAAATTGCCGAGGGGAATGTTAACATAGTTGAGAAAGCAAACCGTTTTCAAATATTTTAGCAGCAATTACACACAAATACTTTAAGTACAGATGATCTCTTTCCATCCATTAAAGCAGAGTTGACTAAGATTTTTCCTTGGCAATATATTTTTTAAAGCTACTCGTTTATTCTAATACTTCAAAGTACTTGAAAGCAATAGAACTTGAATTCTTTTTTATTGTTTATGTAATTGTGTTCTCACGGTTCCAGACTTTTTCCTGAATAAATATGAATACTTGAAATTTTGTTTAATCTTATTCTTATGATAGTCCTATGTTTTCCGCAGGGTTTCTGGGAAAGCCAAATGGAGCTCAGGAAGCTATATGGACCTCTGTGTGGGTAAGAGAGAAGTCCACTTTTCTACCATTTATCTTGATTTCTGCATGTTCTGATAAGGAAGTAATAACCAGAATGGGGGATGTTGCATGTGTTTAGGTCTTTTAAGGATCCACAAAGAGAGGGCCTAGCTGTACAGATAAGGCTCCTGGAGGAGTGGAGGAGGCCCGAGGGTTGCCCAAGGGGGCCCCATGCTAGGCTGAAAGAACACCACTTCCCAGCCTTTAAGACCCTGACCAGTTAGGTCAGACCCCGGGTGCCTTGACCATCTTGCTCTACTGCTGCAATTGGATACAGTGGCCCTCCATGCCTCAGTCTAGTTTGCCTTGAGAACCCACGAGTCGTCTTTTCTTATGAACTTACCGAAACCTTACTTGGACCCGTTTTGTTCAACTCTGTGGGAAAACATGCTGTCAGCTGTATGACCATATAATCTACCAACCAATACAATACACTGTGTTGAACGTGAAAGGGGATGCTATTAATAATTACCCCAGACAACAGTGGACACAATGACTGTCCTGGATATATTGGGACATCTGGTCACCCTAGTTCTCAGCCATATAAAGTACTAGAGCCCCCCTTTTTTTTCTTGAATTTTCCCTTTTTATGCCTCAGAGAATGCTCCTTCTTTTAAAAAAAATAAATAAATAAAATTCCAGAATCTGGTGAACAAACATATGTTAAGACCATTTATTCTATTCAAGATTTGACAGACTTGAGTCATATTGGTTCTCAACATGCATCTTTCCACATTGGAATCCTAATCGTTTTAGTCTGTTCTCGTATCATTCCTCCTCAGCCATGCGGTGATTTTTAGCAGCTCTTCTCCAGACCTCCAGGTCTGTGATCACTGTTTTAGGTGCAGTAAACTTCTGTTGTGTTCCTAATGTACATGCTAATGGGGTCCCATGGTTTGTGAACCCTTCTGTCCATAGGATCCATGACGCTTATTCTCCCAGTGATGATTTTCAAAAGACTGACTTGTACTCTGCGGAAATGGCCCTACCTGGGAGACCCATAGTTTTGGCCAAGTTGTTCTCACTGCTCTTTAGTTTGCTATATGGTCCTGCAAAAGTAATAAATTGTCATACTAGATGCTCTCTGAATTAGTTTGTTATCGCTGCATAACAAACCAATCTAAATTGCAGGGACTTAAACAACAAATTATTATTTATCACACGTCTAAGGGGTGGCTGGAATCAACTAATCTAAGCTACCCTTGGCTCAACTCAGCTGGGCTTTCTGGTGCATCTGTTGGTCCTCTGGGCAGGTAGGTCATTTAGGACAGGCTCAACTGGGGCAGCTCTGCTCCACTTATCTCTCATCCTTCTTGGAATAGCAAGCAAACCAGGGAAGGCTCTTCTCAAGGTGAAGGCAAATGTTCAAGAGAGCAAACCTAATAGCACAAGAACATCTTAAGTTTCTGCTGCATCATGTCTGCTAACATCCTATTGGCCAAACCAAGTTATATGGCCAAACTCAAAATCAGGTCAGGAAGCACATCTGCCCTCAGTGAGACCAAAGCAAGTCACTTGGCCAAGCCTGACATCGATGGGGCAGGGAGGTGTGTTCCTCTGATGGAAGGGCAGGGAGGTGGTACACATCTTTCAATAATAAGCAACTCTACCTAATTCTCTAAGATATCTTTTAGCTTGGTCTTAACTTACTTTTTTTTTTTTATGTGCATAGCTTCTTGCTTTAAGTATGATAGATACTTAATAAAGGCTCAAGGGATTGACCCATTTACCTTTCTCCTACTCTTGGGCTGCTCTATTGCTTTTTTAAAAGTTCTCATTCCAGTTCTCTCTTTCCAATAGCCTCATTCTGTGGTTGACTTGACACTGACCTTGGAGGCTGTCCCATATATTACTGAAACATCTCACTGACTCAGAATGACAGTAGCTTCCCTAGAATTAGGCAAAGGCCTCTCTAAGTTTGAATTCTAGGAATCCATTCCCTGGAGTACTTCTTGTACAGATTTTTCAGAGTAGAACACTTGAGTATTTTAAAATAATTTTAAAATGTCAGATGAAGAGTTTAAAGGGCACTGTATTAACTGGTGGGTGGTGTGGTGTGCATGCGTGTGTGAGAGGTGGGGGACAAAGAGAGAGAGGGAGGAAGGGAGAATTAGTTTTCTTGACGACAGGATGTCTAATAAACTACCCACCCCCAACTTTAACTAAGTTAACACCGTTTATCCATTTCATTTCAAGAAAACGTAAATCAAAGAGAATGATTTCAAATGAGGTTGTAGAGATAGAAATTGCAGTATCATCTCCACTCTTTGTTCCCACCTCTGGTGAAAAGGGGAAAAAAGAAAGGTGATGGCATAATTTCTTCATACAAAACTGTCAACCTTTTTCTGCTTTAGAAAAAAAGATGAGCCATAAAATGCTGACTTCTTTTTAAACATGTCCATTCCTGGATTTGGAGGCAAGATGGTGGTGGGGCAAAGTCCTGACTGAGCTCTGTAATCTTGATGAGACTCAGTGTGCTCACCTTTTAAAATGAAAGGGATGAACTAGCTTCTAGCCCTAAAAATTATCTTGTTACTCCTTAAATTTTACCAAAATGTTTTCACTGGTTGGGAATGTCAAGGATGAACTACTTTCAATAAAAGACCCTTCCTTTACACAATGATTCAGTTTGAGTTATTTAATTTTTAGACTATTTTTATTTATTTTTTAAAATATTTTATTTATTTATTTATTTATTTATTTATTTATTTATTTATTTATTTATTTGAGAGAGCGAGCGTGCACACATGAGCAGGAGGAGTGGCAGAGGGAGAGAGAGAAGCAGGCTCCCCACTGAGCAAGGAGCCCAACTTGGGGTTTGATCCCAGGACCGTAGTATCATGACCTGAGCCGAAGGCAGACGCTTAATGGACGGAGCCACCCAGGCGCCCCTGACTACTTTTATTTTTTTAGAAAATATTATCAAGACCAGATGGTCCTCTTAAAAATTAAAATGATAGACTGATTCACCATTTGACAAGGGAAGCCCCACACTGTTGATGCCATATAGAGATGCACTGTATCGTTAGGTGGCAGGACAGTATTCCATGTTGGGAGAAACATGCTGCTCTGGACCTGAAAGCCAAATATGGGGATCATGATACTTATTATCTGGTTGTTATCACAGCAACCCAGTCAGAGTTTGGGTCCCCAAACTAGAGATCGGCTCCTTATCCATTTTCCCTCCCACTCACTGCTATGGGAAAGATAATGCTAGAGAAGCTTTCTGCCAAGAAGGGTTGACAATCACTGTTTATTGTCACCGCCACCACCGCCACCACCACCGAGAACAAAATGTCCTTACCAAGTATCTAATTATGTAGCCTGCTTTGCCACACGCTGTGCAGCTAAAACTACACATGTTGTCTCTGCCTTCTCTGAACTTGAATGTAAAGCAGATGGACTGGCATGCATGCCTATCCAGTTTTTATTCACAATACTTGATTTGAACTCTTTTGAATTACACAGTAGTACCCCTGACAACATAATAGGAAGAAAGCGAAGCTTTACGGCTTTAGACAACCTGCAGTCAATTAATAATGACTGGTTAGCCCTTCAGTCTGAGCAGGAGCCCCAAGTTGGATTTATATTCCTTCCTAAACCCTAAAAGAACAGCATCAACATAATCATCAGACATTTGTGACTGGATATAAACAGGATGGATATTATTTTCCCTTCCAATTTGACTTTATAATCCAGTGGTTGACAAGCCTTTATTATACTATTACTATTAATTACTTATAAATACTTATGGCACCTAAGTTCAGCTCATTTGTGACTCCTAAAGGCTCCCATCTAAAGCTTCTTTACCTTTCTCTTGTCTGTCTTTTAAGTGATAGTTCTATAGCTGTTCTTTTATTTAGCCCCATCCCCATCTCTTCTTGCTCTCACATCACTTTGACCTTGATTTCTAGTATAAACTTCGCTCCCTCTTGTTGAATTTGATTCTCATGCTTCTCGGTCTCCATCATTCTCTGCCCCTCCATTTGATTAGTGGCCCCCTCATTCCTGTATCCCTCTATCAAGCCAGATTTGTTCAATGATCTCATATACCCTCATTAGAACAGTAAGTTGTAAGTAGGTAAGCATGCACATTGTATATAATTCATAAAGTACAAATAAATATTCAGCAAAAAGTAAAACTGACTCCCTTCTTGGACCTTTAGCCACTCTTCCCCAGAAGCAACCTCTGTTATCAACTTTTTAATACTCAGATGGATAATATATGATAGATGCTGTTCTTTATCTTGCTTTGTTCATTAATGATATTTGTGAAATTGTCCCATTTCAGTACATTCATTCTTGTTAAATGCTATTCTATTTTTTTAAGGATTCCATTGTATGGATGTATCCTAGTTCTAAAAATAAGTTCTCAATTAATGAACACCTTTTGCTCTTATAAATAATACTGCAGTGAATATGCTTGTATATATATCATTGCTGTCTTATGTTAGTATGTCTGTAGGATAAATTCCTAAAACAAATTATTAGGTCAAAGATTATCTACGTTTTTTACTTTATTTATTTATTTTTTTTAAAGATTTTATTTATTTTTCAACAGAGAGAGAGAGACAGTGAGAGCGGGAACACAAGCAGGGGGAGGGGGAGAGGCAGAAGCAGGCTTCCCGCGGAGCAGGCAGCCCGATGCGGGGCTCGATCCCAGGACTCTGGGATCATGACCTGAGCCGAAGGCAGACGCTTAACGACTGAGCCACCCAGGCACCCCAGTTTTTTACTTTATTTTAAATGGCTCTGTCTAGGACTTATATCAACATACATTCTCATAAATAAGTATATGAGAGTACCTGCTTCTCTCATGTGATTGCCATTAAAATGTGGTGGTCATGATTTTAAGTCTTTACCACTTGATGGTAGTTTTGATTTGCACTTTTCTAATTATGAGCAAGCTTGGATATCTTTTCATATGTTTAAAATCCATTGCATTTTGTTTTCTTATTCTATTGGATTAGTGATCTTTCCCCA